CATGCCCAACTTAGATTAACAGGCAGGAGGATAAAAATTTTCAAGACATTTCTAAAATAGTTTTCTGACAAATGTATAATGCTTAGAATAGCATGGTGTGAGGTAAAAATTCTATTGGTAGAGTACTTTTAAGAGAAGGTTTAAAAACGTGAACATTTAAATACATACATTAAAAAAAGAAAATTCAACTAATCTTAGGCAAAAATGGCAAAACTAAAAGAAAACAAATCAGTACATCCCACTTCCTATTTTTATGATTTTTTGAGGAAAATTCTGATGAAAGTTTTAGTTTGCTATACTCACATTCAGTATTTAATAGCTATTTACTTTAATGGTGTGCTAATATCAAATGGATTTTAATTGAAGAAACAATTACTTGATTATTTTGCTACTACTTTTTTCACATGTACCTGCAGGCTTCTGCATGCAGAAGCTGTTTTCTTTGTTGTATGGCACTTACTGTACACTTGTAGCTGTCCTCTGAAGACATTCCTTCCACGTGAGTTTTCAGCCTTACATTCATACATCCCTGCATCATCTAGCTGCACGTTAGGTATTTCAAGCACAGCTTGGGATTTTCTCAGACGGGCTTTGCTTGGATTATGACCATTAACTTTCCTCCATGAGATTGTTGGAACAGGGCTGAAATATTTAGTAAAATTACCGTTAGCACTATTGAGAATATAGATTCCGTTATCTGGTAACTTAAGTACTTAATAGCCTAAGTGGCAATAAAATGTAATCACAATTAAGGCCCATGTACCGCTTGATATACTTCACTTTCCATAGGGAATCTTTATTAAGCAATGCAACTATATGGGAAACATCCTTGTTTTCCACAAAGGAAGTTAAGTTTTAATTTATATTAATTAACTCATTCAAAATGTACTCTGTGGGGATTAATCTACACTGTTAGCTTCACTGTTGAAGGCCTTGAGCCCCTTCTTTTCATACTCAAAAGGAAATCGCATCACTAATGCCTAGATGAACTATGTAAGTACAATCATTGTCCCAGCTTCCCAGGATCTCACGTTCAAGAACAGTGCTCCAGTACAGCAGGCTCTCAAATATTTAGGATATGTCTATTCATAAATGTAGACGAGACAGATTTAATAATGCTGCAATTCAGGCAAATTATGTCTCAGTCTTTTTAAAGGATTCATATATAAGGTGACTGTATTTTTAAAAAGGGGGCATTGAGAGGTCAATATTTTTATTTCCAAGAGTTGCAAAATAGTTATTGCAAAATAAACTTAAATTGTTTATCACTATTGCTAAAGTATGACCCATTTATGTTTCTTAAAATGAAAGTTTTTTAAGTATCCTAGGGTGCATCTACATGTGCACCCCGACTGTGCAGTAACTTCTGCTACCACACAGTCCCAGTAGCACATGGGTTGTTTCTGACCCTACTGCACAGTAGCATCAGTATCACAATTCATGCTCACCAAAGCTACGTCACTGTAGTGACGAGCTATGTTGGCGTACAATGACTTATGTCTTGTGTAGATGTGCCCCTATTGTTTTGAATAGCAGTTAAAACATCATTTGGAACATCATTTGAAAAAATAGGATCGTCTCATTTGACTCATACAGGATCTGTTGGGAATCTTTTATACATGGTTCTCAAATGTGACAAAATGGTTCTCAATGTGATTAAGTGATCAGTAAAGCTAACTGCACTCTAACATGCATTAGTGGGTGCATCATGAATAGGTCTAGGGAGGTGATACTTCCCCTCTATGCAGCATTGGTAAGACCACAAGTGGAATACTGCATTCAGATTTGGGTGCTACACTTCAAGAGGGATGTCGATAACCTTGAGAGGGTCCAGAGGAGGAGGGCTACTCAGATGGTTAGGGGCCTGCAGGTAAGGTCCTATGAGGAGAGATTGAGAGACCTGGATCTCTTCAGCCTCCACAAGAGAAGACTGGGAGGGGATCTAGTGGCCATTTACAGATTTGTCAGGGTGGGACAGCAAGGAATAGGAGACACTCAATTTACCAGGGCACCCCTTGGAGTTAGTAGAATCAAAAGGCACAAACTAACAGAGATCAGATTTAAATTAGACATCAGGAAGAACTTTATGGTGAGGGTTACCAGAATCTGGAATGGGCTTCCATGGGAGGTGGTGCTCTCCCCTACCTTGGAGGTCTTTAAGAGGAAATTGGACAAGCACCTGGCTGGGGTCACCTGACTCCAGCACTCTTTCCTGCCCAGGACAGGGGATTGGACTCGGTGATCTACTAAGGTCCCTTCCGACCCTAAATATCTATGAAATCTATGAAAATTAACTTAGATTATAATACTGCTGAAACTTTTAGGAATTTGGATTAGTATACCAAAATCATAACATAGACCTTCCTTTAAAATCATACACATACAGGTAGTACCTCACATAGAATTTAAGGCTAGAATGAGCCAATAGATCAGTCTAATCTCTTACATATTATATGCTGTTAAATTTCACACAGATACCCCACTCTTAAAACCATTAGCTTAGCTAATGTTTACATAAAGCATAACCAGAGTTTGGCTAATGTATGTCATCCAGAAAGGCATCTAGAATTGATCAGCAGACATCAAAGGATGGATAATCCATCATTTCACTTGACTGTTTGGTAAAATTATGTTTGAATTGTAATTTTAATTTATTTGGATTCAACTTCCAGCTACTGGTTCTTGCAATGCTCTTCCTCTCTGTCATTTAATAGCCACTATTTTCTCTCTGTAAAAGTATTTAACTAACTAGATCAACACCTCTCAACATTCTTTCTGGCATTCTACACAAAATTAACTCTTTACTCTAGCCCCTAAATCATTTTTGCAACTCTTATCTTCTTCCTCTCCAAATTTTCAATGCTTTTAAAAAAAATACAAATGGGACACAGTACACTATTATGCACCTCACCAATTCCAAAGTAAAATCACTCCCTGACTACTACTCAGTGCTTCCCTATTTATGCATCCTCAGATCTCATTAGTCCCTTTTTTTGTCACAGAGTCTTACTGGTAGCTCAGGTTCAGTTCTTTCTTAGTTCTTTTTTTTGTTCACTTGGACACCACTCTTCTTTCCAAGTACTAAATAGAAATAAGTTAGCTTTTATTCTTAACACACTTGGAAAATCCATTAGTACTCTCTACACGGGACGCTGACTATACAATTGTTATTGCACAGTTCTTTAGTACTTGTATAAACAAGTAGTAAAAGACTGTGCAGTAACCAGAGTTACTGTGCAGTAGCGTCGCCAAATGGCTCTGGTGATGGTTCTGTTGTGGGGTGTTGTTATTGTGAGAGAGGGCCATTCCTGGATCGTACACCTGCGCCTCCAGAAATGTAATAGATCTCATCCAGTGCACCAAATGTCCTGATGGATTGCTTGCAGAAGGTCCTGAGCTTATTGTGATTGCAATTCTATTAGAAGGCAGGGTAGATTCTATTACCATTGAAGCTGATGGCAAAACGCCCTTTGACTTCAGTGTCTTGGTTCAAATGAATAAAGCTGAGGAGTGGAATTTTTTTTAACATATTTTTCAGAGAAACAATGAAGAAGCCATAAAGCATGAATGTTCTATCACCCAGTAGGTAAGAAATTACTATGCAAGTCAGTGTACCAAAAAAAATCTATAAATGCAATTGACTTTATTTTTAATTTGGTTTAATTGCATGCTGCTTAAAGTAAGTGCTTTCAGTATGGAAAATATGGAAGTAACTTTTAATCATTGCCTAGGTCATTAGGAAACATATTTTGAAAAATTGTCTTTTTTCTCACAAAGATGAAATAATAAGTGGAATTTTTCAAGGAGATAAAAATACTTTGACTGGAAAGATTTAATGATTTCAAAAGAAAATTCTCCCAAACTGCAACTCATAGACAAGTTGTAGCTCTATTTAATGAAGCTTCTTATTTTTCTTGCATAAGTCACAAGTGAGGTATGAATTTTGCTTCTGAAATGAAAATATGACTGTATGTAGTTCTCCTTTGTGACTTGTGTAAAAAAATGAAACACTATCTCAGAGAGGATATCAAAGAATAAAGTTGTGAAACTTTTTCCTAGAAATCTCATAAAATTCATTGTAACATCTAGCTAAGTTATGCACATATTTTCTATGTTTTTAATGAAATTAAGGTTCATAAAAAAAAGAAGGAAGAGAAACTTGACCATGAATGCATGAGCTGGCTCTAATTTACATAATTGGTAAAGTTCTTCATAGTCAATTTTCTCTTGACCTTAGCACAAATCTATGAGAGCACTACATTTTGACTATACTTTATTCAAATTATTTGTTTTCAAACCTAGACCTAGATCTTGCCAAAACTTACCAGTGTGAGTACCTTTATTCATGCATGTAGTCATACTAAGGACAAATGGGAAGACTCACACATTTTACCCCTGGAAATAAAGTAGTGTTTTTGGAGACTAATATTAACTTAACTGATAAAAATGTCAACATTTCCAGTGATTTCAAAACAGGATTACCCTCCTCATCCATTTCAACTGAAAGAAAAGTTCTCCTACTCTAGTTGTGACTATGACAGATAAGAATAAACTCAGTGTCTGTACAGAAGATGTATTTACTTTGAATAGGAAAGGAAGTGTTGCATTTGCATCTAAAATTATTATGAGGGCATGAGTTTCATTAAGTACTCAGTGCTGGCCTAATTTTATTCATATCAAAGTCAGTGGGAGTTTTATCACTGACCTCAGTGGTATTAGGGTCTAGAAACTATAAAACGCTTCTGAATATTTCCCTGTGAAAATTACAGTATCATGATTCACTGAATTCCAGAGGAAACAGAATTTACTAAAAATTAAAATGGACGTATCTGAAGTAAATGAATGGTGTAATGAGACACATGGGAATGCCCTTCATAGCTCCCTGATTTCTAAACTGTCTTTTCCATGGATCCAATCCACTAATTTTCAACATCAGAGGTAGGAAATACATTGTTACCTCTTTCTAATTTTCTATGTGCTGTTTGCATTACCCTTTGTATCAAAACACTATTTACCTTCTACTGCAGTTTCAACCTCGTTGTGTGATTTCCTTGGGACCCCATAGGAATTTTACAAATAAATCACTGGTCTCAGTAGTGCTTTCAAATTCACAGGTGCATGTCATAATATATCTTGAAAACCCCCCATTGGTGCAGCACCGCATGACTGTGCATTTGAGATTAGAAGACAGCCCTTTCTCCTTATGCCCTCCAGCTTTCCAACTGTGTTAAATATCTTCTAATTATTACAGGATAATTATGTAGGATTAGAATGCTGAGGACTATCATGAACTTCTCCACATCAGATATGTCTAAAAATGTGTATTTGCCAGTCGTACGAATGTACCTTTGAAATGAACCATATAATTCTATTCTGTGAGTCATTAGACCATTACATTCAAAGGTGCAAAACTACACAGTGCCTTATATTTCAGTAACCAAAAAGAAAATCCTTAAGTGCTCATGTAAGGAAGGAGATTTTGTGTACAGGAGGCTTAATCAACAGAACAGGTAGAAAAGCAGCTTCTCCCCACAGCTGTCACCCTGACTCAGTAAATTACCTATAGTAATCATAAGATACACCATTCACATGTCTTTGAGGTTTGGCGTGGTTTATGGCTTGATTTTAATAGATGCTGGGCA